TCGAGAGATATGTATTTTTAATATATTTTAGTATGTCCTGCGTGCTTCCATGGTTTTGAGTGGTTTTCCATGGTTGTGAGTGGTTGTCTTGTAGCGTTTATTGCTAGGGCATCTGCAAGTTCGTTTCCATGTATTCCCACGTGACCGGGGATCCAAAGTAGTTTAAATTTATTATTGTTTTTTTTGTAGAAGATTACGAGCCTTTGAGATATAGTGTTCGTTGTTGTTAGTGTGTTTAATTGCGTTTATGGCAGAGAGTTACAAAGTTACTAATTATTATTTTTTTATTTTATTTTTATACCCTTGCAGAGGGTATTAAAATTTTGTCCAAAAGTGTGCAACGCAGTGAAGGAGACATCTCCGACCCTATAAAGTATATATATTCTTGATCAGGATCACCTCCTGAGTTGATATGAGCATGTCCGTCTGTCTGTTCGTCTGTCTGTCTGTCCGTTTCTACGCGAACTAGTCTCTCAGTTTTAAAGCTATCGTGTTGAAACTTTGCACACACCCTTCTTTCCTTTGCACGCAGTATATAAGTCGGAACGGCCCGGATCGGCCGACTATATCCTATAGCTGCCATATAACTGATTGATCGGAAATGGTATAACTTTGACGTTTTTAATGTTACAGATTTCAAATTTGACATGAGAGCATTTTTTGGCAAAACATTACGACATGCCAAATTTCATAAGGATCGCCCGACTATATCTTATAGCTGCCATATAACTGAACGATCGGAAATGACCCAACTTTCGTGTTTTTGATGATAGAAAGGTGGAATTTAGTACAGATTCTATTTTTGGTCAGTTAATCCAACCTACCAAATTTCATTAGGATCGGCCGACTATATCCTATAGCTGCCATATAACTGAACGATCGGAAATGACCCAACTTTTGTGTTTTTGAAGGTAGAAGTTTGGGACATTTTTAGGTTTGGTTTTTGTATTATAATAAATTGGGTTATATTATCATATTCTCATAAGGATCGGCCAACTATATCCGATGTTTGCGATATATATCCGGTTTTGTTTTGTGGTTGGGTATTGCTTATTTACAGTGTATGTGTTTTTGCGGGTTGAGTCCGCAAAAGCGTCGGATGGTACTCCAGATTGTTTTTGGCGGTGTTTCGGGTGAGATTTGTGTTGTTTATAAAATTGTTTATACTTCGTTTTTTTCTTGTTCTAATGTTAGCCTAAATAGCTTTTTTGTACTTTAGAATTTTTTCTGTCGATATGTTTCTTTTTAATTCGTTCCATTTCTTCATTTTGTCGTCTCTCAATTGGCTAAGTTTGCCATTCCACCATGGAACATTTTAAGGCTTTCTTGTAGGGTGTGTCTATTGCCTTATGGATTGTGTGAATTGTTGCGGCTTCCTTGTTTATGTTTGTGCTTGGTTTTCTCTGTGCGGAGTATACTTCAGTGAGCTTGCAGAATTTTGGCCAGTTTGCTTTGTCGGTTCAAAATGATGGTTTGCGTGGAGTGACTTGGAGGCTCGTTGTGTTGGAGGTGAAAAGGTTGATTATTATGGGGAAGTGATCGCTGGCAAAAAGATTATTTTCGATGTGCCAAGAGCTGTCAATTTGAAGAATTGGGCTGCTAAAGGTTAGGTCAACGTTTGTTAGTCGACCAGTCGTTTAGTAGTATGTAGTTTGATTGAGTTATGAATTTCTCTAATGTTTTTCCTCTTGCGTTGTTTTGATTTGACCCCCGTTTTTGTGCCAACCGTTAAAGTCGCCAGTGATCAAGGTGGGTATATGTCTAATACGGCCTAAAGGTTTTGAAGTGAGAATGATTTTTTAGGAGCTATGTATGCTGAGATAATTCTGAATTTAAGTTTGGAGTTCAGTTCTATGCATACTGCATCGAAATCGTCTCTAAGGATTATCTCTCGGGCTTGTAGTGACTTGTGGGTTAGGAGACCTACGCCACCGTGGGAAGATGAGGTGTTATTTGAAATAATTGTGTAATTTATGGGTATGGGAATGTTATTAGTGAATTTTATATGTGTTTCTTGTAAGGACATTATAAGTGGTGCATTTTTTTTAATGATTGTTTGAAGTTCGCAGTAGTTGTTTAGATAGCCGTTAATGTTCCATTGTATAATTTTCATGATCGATTTTAAAGATTAGTTGTTTGTCGTTTTTTTTTTTTACTTTTTGATTGGTTAGTTTTGGTATGTTTTAGTTGGTCGCTAGTGTCTTATTTTTGTCCTTTTGAAAAATTTGTAGTTTTAGGTCTTGGGTCCTTTTGCATGCTATGTTGTTGTTCAAGCATTGAACACTATTTTGTATAGAAATTCTTAAGTTAGAGTTTCAAGGGATCGGACCCATGAAATATGAGTCAAACACATGGTTCAAAACCGATCCCCTGCAGCCTAACACAAACAAATACATAAGTGGTGCGCTTATCGCACTGGAGAAAGGGTCGCATAGCAGGTCAGCGTGCAGGGCGTTGACAAGTAGTTTTACATAGATTTAAGATTCTCATGTATCGTACTTATAAGAGAACTTTGACGAATAAAATCAGTTTCCATAAGGAGCTCATTGGAGTAAGACCTATTTATTTAGGGCTCCTCTTAACAGTTGTCTTTTGAAGTGCTGGGGAGGTCGATATCCATGTTGGAGATATCAGTATTTTGATGAGCGGGTGAAGTTAGTGGTGTTGTGATGTTTGCAATTGGAGTATGTGTGTGATGGTCATTAGAAAGGTCATGATGTTTGTTTTCTTTGATGTTGTTTCTGTGATGTCGGCGTGTCTTTATTTTGGTTTGTGTATTGAGGTGTGGGTGTTGTTATTTTGTTGTTTTGTCGGTCTGCTGTTTAGATACAATAGATGAAAAGCTAGTACTGAGCTGTTGGTTGCGACGAGAGTAGTATATTTCTATTGCTGTTTTTTGTATAGTTTTTATTGTTATCAGTTCATTTTGTTTTTTCAATGATGGGCAACTGCGGTCTAGTGGGCTATGTTTTAAATCTGTATCGAAAATTTTTTTGCAATCAATGCAGTTTTTTTTCGTTGTTGCATGACTTTCTTCTTTGTGGGTTATCTCGGAGCAGTTCTTGAAAAGCTCTGCGGGGCTTTTGCAGGTTGGGGTCGGGTGTCCAAATGGTAGGCATTTTTGGCATCTTAGTGGACGTGGAATATATGGGCGTAGACGAACTTTTTCGTATCCAACGTTTAGGGATTCTGGGAGTGTATGGGTTTGGAAAGTTATTATAATTAATTCAGTTTCTACCAATAATTGGTTTTGCTTCTTTAGAATTTTGCGAACTTCAGTGACTTTTTGTGTTTTAATTCGTTGAGCATTTCTGTTTCGTCTATTTTTCGTAATTCATTACAGTATATTATGCCCTTAGAGAAGTTTAGAGATTTGTGAGATTGTTTTTTTTAATTCTGTTTAATACACTTATTTGTTTTTTTTTTCTGAGGTTTATTGTTGGTGTTGTTGGGGATTTGTCCTACTGAAGCTCAAAGGTGACACGTCTTAACTCAAAGAAGTTAAAGAGGTTTGAAGTGAAACTGAATATTTCAGTATATATTTGACAATTATTTAGGAATAAGATAAAGTGTTGCTGTATGGCTAGTGGTAGCATGTAAGTTGTTTTGTAGCCATGTAAGGATTTATCCGTTGACCAACATAAATAAAATTATTAAGACGTCAGCTTTGTTCGATTTTACCTTCATAAACAGTTCATTTCAGATATTTTTTGGCGCAGCTTGCAGCATATGTGAATAATCAGTGATATAATCACTTTTGTGTATGCAGAGAAACGGTTGCATCATGAAATGGATTCAATATCTCAACCAGTTCCCTTATTAGTGTTATTTCGGTTACCTCGGTTTTTAATAGAACTTTCGAAATAATTTCATTTATCGCCAAAATACGCTGCATCATGAAGAGAGTACTATTCCAACGCGTATGCACCTCCTGGATCAAACCATACTGATTATAAACTCCTTACTCCTTTTTAAGGGGTTATATACAGTTGTGATAGATGAAAAAATCGATTTTTTTATTGCAATTTCTTTAAGTATATACTGTTGAGAATACTCTCATAAGGATTCATAAGGATCTGAGCATTACAACCGAAGTTGTAGCTATTTATAGCGCACTACCTGCACATCAAACTTAAACAAACTTGAAACTTTAAACGCGATTATCTAAGAACCTTGTTTTTTCGAAATTACCTTTGCGGTGGACACGATTACTAAAAAACTATTGATCCGATCAACACCAAATTTTATTATTTTACCACTTATTTATTATGATAATATCTAGTCGGTGAACGAAGGAATTTTCATTTTTTTTGAAACTCCTTTTTTAGAGCATAAAAATCAAAAATATTATACCTTGAAAAAGTACATTTTGTGTTAAAACCGTCGCCATTTTTTTTTTAATCAAAATTTTTATAAATCCTTAGTTCACGGACTGGGCAATACAATATGCTAACAATTTTTACTAATTACTACTAATTTTTTTAAATTTTTGATTTCGGATGAACCGTTCTTGGGATATGATGTCCACCGCAAGACACCATCGAAAAAAGACGATCTTGGAATTCGGCTATAAAATTTTTATTAGTTAATATTTTTTTATGAAAAAATTTAAATAAGTACCCAGAAACATGTACTAAACAACGTCAGTAAAACATTTTAAATAAATATTTTTTTATGGTGTCAAAAAACAATCTATAAAATTTAATTTTTTTGCTCGGTACAACTGTATAAAACCCCTTAAATTTGGCTTAAGAAACATTGCACGATTTAAAAAATGCGAAATAAATGATTTTTAATTGAAATAATGTTTATTTTTTTTTTTTTTTTTGCAAAATTTAAACATTTTTTATTTGAAACGTACAATGCTATTATATAGGTATGTTGTGTAGTACTAAAATCGGTAGTTAGTAATTTTATCGACTTAGGACCTATTACAAAAAACGGTATACGACATGGTAGGTATCTTACAATCAGACAGTAAGTACATTTCGTTTAGTGCTTATTAAATAATTGTTAAAAATATTGGAAGTAGCTGCACATAATATAGTAATACTTGTTGCAATAAATTACAATAAAATACAATACAATACATCGATCAAAAAATGGCAGAAACAATGTCATCGCTTAATAGTTGGTGTTGGTATTACACTCCTTTTGTGGGAGGCTCTAAAAGATACAGTGGGCCGGAACTGGAGTCCATTCTTGGTATTTCTGGACAGTTGTTGGGCAGTTGAACTGCCCGATTGGAATCTTACGAAACTAGATTGGCAAACAAGCGGACTCCTTACGCTCTAAAACTTAACAACGCTATTTAGACTACGATTCAGACGTTTCCATGTGCCGGTGCACAGTCACTGGTGCCAGGATGTAGTGCCGCGACTCCTCTCCCTCCAAAGGCAGAGTGGTCTGCCCGTAGACCCCGCCTCCACCTCCGGATCCGGGCGGTCCCCGGCATGGTGAGGGAGTGGCTTGCACCTGCTGTTGCTTGTAGCGCTCCGTCTTGGAGGTCGGTTGATTGCTCAAGTACGGATGCGTATTTGGCTGTGTGGAGGACTGCTGTCGATTCGTGGGACTCGATATGGAGGTGGATATGGACATGGTGTCCGATTTGCTGTGGCGCTTGTCGTGCAGGAGCAACGGTTCCGTGAAGCACTGCTGGTCGGAGCTGTCCTCATGCGGCGTCATGGTGCTGTAGCCATGATCCGACTCTCCGTTGGGTGGTCGCCGGTAGCTACTTCCACTGGACACGTGGTACGGCGATATGTCCGCTGCATGCATCAGCTGTTGTTGGGCAGCCGTGTGGTCGTATCCACCACCCAGAGGCGGTTCATCGTGCGCCTTGCAGTCGTCAAAATTGAACCTGGATAAGGGCAGCCCGTAGTTTTCTTCCTGAACGGAGTCCACGTAGAACTGTTCCTGCGCCTGGGAGTCCAGGTTGTGTCTGTAGCAATATATGGCAAATCCTATCACCATGCCCAGGACCACAATAACTCCGCCCAGCGGCCCGAAGGCAGAGTAGGCGTGTTGTTCTCGTTGCGGATTGTGGGCGGCCAGTAGCTCCAATTCGTCCAGCTCTCCGTAGGGCGTCAGAGAGGCTAGCACTCCGTTAAAGCAGCTAGCCTGCGACGCACAGAAGGCCGTGGAGAAGCCGTTTCCGTCCATATCCTGTTGACACCATTCGCAGCCCATCACTCCGAGACACTCTCGCTGCGTGGAATACGTCTCACAGATGCCAGCGCTTCCGGGACAACTTGGGAGGCTACTCAGCAGTTGGGTTGTCGGTGGTAGAGCAATAAAGTGCTCACTCGGTGGCGGGCAATATGGAAACTGCTGTATATAGTTCGCATAGTAGTTGAAGGACGAAGTTGAGCTGCTGTCCCCGACCAGTGGACACTCGCAGGGGCATTCGCAGTCCGTTTGGTCCATCCGCTTGCAGTTGAGGCACTCCCGATCGATGGTACTGCACGGACAGAAGGCGCCACCATCACAGCTGGAATTCAGAACAGCGGCAAACACATTGCTTCCCCGGATCAGGGCAATGGCGTACTTGGTTCGTTCTCCGTGCACCACATTTCCAAGGATGGTGGCCAGGGAGGTGTTGAACGCGTAATATCGCTGTAAAGTTCGATTCTGGTAGCTGGCACAGCCCAGCTTCCTTACCAACTGCCCGTGATTGAGCATGTCGTTGGCCAAGTAGGACTCCTTGTGCGTGAGATGCTCGTGGGGCCGTCTCTGGTTACGCGTCGGAGTAGCTGGTTGCATCATGCTCGGTTGAGCCAGCAAGTAGCCCTCGTGCTCGAACAAAAGACACTTCATGTGCGGCTGCTGGCACATGGGGGTTCCCTCTATTATGAGACGGTAGTAGAAAGCATAGGGCACGTCCAGGGCCACCACCCCGATCGGTCTATCCTGCTGTGCTACGTGCAGTGCGTGGGACTTTCCCTCAAAAATGGTGTGCGCTATGGTTATGATGTAGCCTGCGCCTCCAGCATCTAAATAGGGAGCGGTGCTCACGATCTTTCCAGGCTGAGCCATGGCTTGCCGGAACCACGGTCGTCTAGTGGGATCATAGCTACTACTGAGCAAACAACCAGGATACAGCTGAAGAACTCCACTAACACTGGCCATATAACGCCGAATGATGTGCCCTCGCAGAGAACCCCTGGCATCTTGATGTCTTCGTCGCAGCTGCTGTATGGCCTGGTAAAGCATGTTCACTTCATATCGAATGCCGGGACGCAGGCCAGGGTTCGCCAGTAAGCCACTAGAATCCCTCAGGTAGGCCATAATGGATTCCACGTGTCGGAGTTGCGTGCGCGGACGGTTGTTGTGCAGAAATCCAAAAGGAGACTCAAATGCAGCAGCACTCAGAAATAGAGTAGGTGCATCCATGGTTGCCATTTGTCTAAAGTAGCGACATGTTTTTGGCAATGTACTGCCACCTTGGACGAAGTCCAAGCGGTGATACAATAGGTCCATGCTCTCGCCAAAGTATCCGGGCTAATAGTTGGACATTGTATCTTTTAGGTTGTAGCGCTGGGCGGCCGAAACATTACGAAGGTAATCGCCTCCACTGCTCACCAGGCACAGCACGTAAAAGCCCAAAATAGATTGCCAATGGTAGGTGCGTTGCAGTCGTTGCTTCCCCACATAAACATCTGTGGTGGCATTGCCACTTTCCTCGTGCAGCAGGCGCTCCCGAATGAGGCTGGAAAAATCCGTCGCGTTCTTAAGGTAGGCAATATTCACAGGATACGAGGTCTCTCGCTGGATGAGGGGCCTCGGAAAAGCCGGATGGGCGATGGTATTGCCCGTTGATCTATCCAGCAAGAAGGCATATCCACTTCCCTGTTTGGCACTAGAGGCAGGACTGGGATAGTTGAGCAGATCCTCGAGAAGATCAGCCAGGTACAAGTTGACGCCCACAACGCCATATGGAGGAATGGCATGTGTGATAGACACCAAGACATCTCCACTATCGACATCCACCACCGGAGGGTGCACTTCCAGGGTATCGGTCAAATATCGCTCAGCAAACAGCTGTCCAAAGATTCGCGAGCTCGTTTGTGGGATTCCTGTTTCAGCGTGGGTTTTACCACTAACCATACAGCATATAGACAACCCATTTCATACAACGAAAATGGACGCGAAAATTTCTTGCGACAGGCCCCAGCAGGCCCCAGAGCGGATTTCTTACGCTCTCTTACGCTCATCGTTCGTTCATCTTACGCTCATTCTCGCATTAAATGTTTTCTGTTTCTCAGTCTCTAAACGGAGCGCGATGAAGAAGGTTGGCCTGCGCTTCGGTTGATCTTTGTATGTATGCGTGTCACACATTCACATACACGGGTGTATGTGTGCGTGCGATTTCGTTTCGAAGCCAGCGCACAAAATTTGGATTTTTCTTACTTTTCAGGCTTGCTACCCTAACAAAATTCGGGTATTCGTATTTGATGAAATGACAAAAGAAATTATATTATTTTTTTTTATTATTTCAGCATACGTTTTTAATTTATTTAAGAATAAGATTAAGTGTTAGTAGTAAAATGTTTTCTGTATATATATTTTTACGAATCATTAAAAATCAATATACTGAGAAAGTGTTAGAGTATATTTCAGTCGGAGTCACTTAAAACGCCGATTGCTTTTAAGTTTTTGTTGTTGTTGTTATTTAATATTTAATAAAAAACTGGGCGAAAACGAAAACGAAAGGTCTTGCTTCTTCAACGTTATAAATTCGAGTATATTTTCTAATCTTTCTCTAATCATAAGCCTAACTTATCTATTGCGGCGAAGCGGGGCGAATTCGCACAAGAGCGAATATGAGATTTCGCTCCCGCTCCGCCCTAAGCTATCTAAGAGTAAATTTACAGACTAACAACTAACAAATACAATTCAGCTATAACTATAATTCAAAATTTTCGACTTCAATAAAATACAAATTTTCGACTTCAATAAATACAAATACGATCTGCGGACATCCTCGGCGCCCAACGAACCTTTGAAAAGCCAATAAAAAGGAATCAGTTGAAAGGTCGGAAACTACTTCTAAATGAACTGCCTTGGACGCAAAACAAACAAATAAGGCAATGTAGGACTTATAGGGTGGCCTACCACGAATTTTCAATGTCGTATCAATAGGGCCACAAAAATCAACACCACATATGGAGAATGGGCGGAGAGCACGAATCCTATCTAAGGGTTAATCACCCATGATTTGAGTCATCAGACGAGGCTTGCATTTAAAGCAGCGTATGCATGACCGTACTGTCTGACTGCAGACTTCCTGCGCATTTACGATCCATATGCGCTGTCGCAAAAGACTCACAAGTGCTCTGGACCCACATGAAAATTCGACTCGTGCAAGTATCGGACGTAGCTCTGAACAAATTGAGAGCGTTTTGTCAACAATACTGGAAACTTGGCATCGTACGATATAGGAGCATTAGCTAGTCGCCCCCAACCCGCAACAACGAAAAGGTAAGCCCAGCTTCTGAAGATTCGTGTAGAAAGGGATTTAGCTTTTTTCTTAAAAGCTTCATTATATTCGACAGGTGAGGGAACAATATCAGAATTCACTACTAATTTCTTCGATTTCCTTATAAAGCGGAACATATAAACGAACACTCGCAGCAGTTTTAAGTGAGAGGAATAACCTTCTATCACTTCCAATAAATCTGAGGTAGATACGATTGCGGTTAATCCGACCGCATTCTTTTTCGCTTCCATCTGTAGAAGTTCTGGTGACGGATCAAACCGGGGGCTCGTCGGCCACTTTTATTTTTATGTCGGCTATCAGAGCGAATCTGTTCAGCCGGAACCTAAGAAGAATTGAATACAACTCTTCCTGGATGGTAGGACCAACCATCAACAGATCGTTAAGACACTTATGTGTTGAGGTCTTACAAGACGCATCAAACACGACTCGTAATTTGGTCGATGTGCTTTGAGGCCGTAAGACACACTGATGGGGTATGACGTAGTGTGGAGTAGCAAGAACATCATTGCTTGTTGGGGACATATGACCTAAGGATTCGTATTCTTCCATAAATTCCACATACATTTTCTTTAAATTCGGATCTCGAGATAATCTTCTCTCGAGCGACAAAAAACGGCGTTTGGCTACCTCGAACGAGTTTCCCAAAACGCTTGGATCCGGTTTAAATGGAAGCCTGACTTCAAATCGACCTGAAGGCAGTACAACTGTATTTTTCAGATAATGTTCCTCACATAACTCTTGTTCAGGTGACAAAAGCTTTTTGGAAGTTGGTACTTCTTCCAACGACCAGAATTTTTTCAAATTGCCATCTATCGACTCGAGTAGTTCTTCTTGGCAATTTAGGCTAGAGACAGGCTGTTGAGGAGTTGAGGTATTTGCCTTATATTTTTCCGATACTATCCATCCAAGGAGAGTTTTTTGGAGGATGGGAAGGCTTGGCCCTTGTTTTATTTGGCCAACGGACAACAACTCGAAAAATGACTCAGCTCCAATTAACATATCTATCCGCTAAGGTTTGTAGAAATATGGGTCTGCTAGCGGCAAGTTCTTTGGTAGGTCCCAATCTTTCAAGTTCACTGACTGGTCAGGGTGATAACCCGAGATAGTTCTCAAAATCCAAAAGTCGAACGGAAACTCACTACCATTAATCGTTGACTTCACCACAGTGTGTATCTTTTTCTTAACCTGGGAATTAGCTTGACCAATTCCAAGCAAGTTGATACACGATTCCTCCCTACGGATCTGTAAGCGTTGAGCAAGTTCTTCAGTAATGAAGTTCATTTGTGACCCAGAGTCAAGTAGTGCTCGGGCCAATATATGCTCGCCATTTTTAGTTGTAACGCTTACGATCGACGTCGCTAACAAAACCCTTTCTAGAGATGACGCATGCAAAGCATGTGACGTAGAAGGGCCATCAAGATGTAACGCTGGAGGAGGATGTTCATTTGGTGGTGGTAACGCCAAGTTATTTTCGGTCACAGTAAATCGGTGCAGAAGTTTGTGGTGCGATCTTGCACAAATTTGACACCTAGTCGATTTACACTTAGCAACCGTGTGACCTTTCGCAGACAATTTAAACATAATGAGGCTGACTTGACAAACTCAAACCGTTGCATTACAGCAAGGCGAGCGAACGGACTACACTGGGCAAGACTATGGTCTTGTGCGTTGCAATATCTGCAAGCTTGTTTATTGGAAGCGGAGCAAGCCAACGAACTCCTATTGTGCTGCTTCCCGAACCCAATTTTCTCCTGTTTTGGCTTGCCAGTCTCTTCAGCGGACAGGTGCTGATAGCTACGATTTAATATTTTTTCGAAATCGTACCACAGCGGCAATTCCTCATAATCCAGTGCCTCTTCCCATTTTTCTCTGGTCACTGGATCTACTCTACTCAAAACTAAGTGAATGATCATTGAGTTTGCAATTTTAGTGTCATCTCCTATGGATAATAGTGACCCATAGATCGATGACACTGTGTCGATGAGACCTCTCAACGACGACGCAGACGGCTGGGAAACTTTCGGAAGGCTGAATAATTTGCTTATTTGGTTCGCAAAGATGAGACATTCGTTATCGTAAACTCTTTTTAGACTAGCAATAGCTTTGTCATAATTACTCTCGGTGATAGTTCCTAAGGCTTCACCAGAGAGGCAAGAAATTAAATGGTTAAATTTCTCGATAACAGGAATGTTATCGCATCCTTGTCTACTAATGTCTCAAAGAGACTCATGAAATTTTTAAACTCCGAATAGTTTCCACTGAATTTTGGCAATGACAAACTGGGAAGTCGAGCTCGAGTTGGGCCTGCAGAAATTGCAGTAGCTGGTGGGGACTCTTCAGCTAACGTGAAAGCATTTAATAAAGACATCACCCTTGCCTTAGTTGTTATCTCTAATTTTTCCAACTCGGCTCCAAATTCATCTTCCTCATCTAATTGCTCGATCTGGTCTTGCAACTCGTTTACCTTAAGTATTGTCTCATTTAAAACCTGAAGCCTGCACTCTAGCTCGGTCTTCACTAAAGGAACTGACCCAGCTTCCAAACGTTCCTCTAACCGGCGAATGCTTTTTACCCTGACATTTAATCTTCTTCTTAATTCATCAAGAGTCGTGGATTTTACTTTCTGTTTATTACTTTCCATTTTAAATTTTATTTATTTATTTTTAATAAACAGACGACGATAAAAAATTTAAAATTTTGCGTTTTTTATTTTTAAATAAAAAATTTTTTAATTTATTTGTTAATTTGTAAAAATAAAAATTTTTGACTAATTTTAAAAAAATTTTTATTATAATTAGTTAATAAATAAATTAAATTCATAAAACGAAAAACGTATCCAAAAAAATAGTAGGTTGCAAATGACACCGAAAAAGGTGTATACCTCACAATTATAGGGTAGCGCGGCACTTGGCGTTCCGGTAAAATAAAATGCGCCAAACTAATGCATATACATACATACATATATAGCAGCGGACAACGGTTGGAGCGAAAACGAAAATTTTTACCGCTGCATATATTTGTATGTACGCCAAATTATTTATGCACGTAAACATGTATTATATTTGTACATACATATATTTGTATATAAATAAATGTTTGGCTGCACTAAATTTAACTATTTTGTTTGGCGAAAAACGAACGAGGGGTAAAGGGGAGGGCGACAGTGATGTGGATATGTATTTATGTATGTTTTTGTCAATTTTAGCCACAGACAGTTTGTTAATATTTAACTAAACTACTCAAATTTTTAAGCTCTACTAATTTCAAGTACGTATGCGCCAAGAATTGAAAGGAGGGTGCTATATTTCAGCACAAGACGAAGATTTAATTTGTCTCTTCTCAACTTTCAATTTTTCGCACAACTACCTGGGGTTCCGCCTTGGGATCCTTTAATCCCGCTGCCACTTTCCTTTTACAGTCGATGCAGGTGCACGGCATGGAAATAGATGGTTTTCGATGAGTGGCGATGATCCTGCGAGGCTTGAGGGTTTCACGACGCGGTGAATTTTGTTTTTTATTTTTCACTTCACGGACGCGTCGCGAGCAGCTCTTTTAATTGTAGTTATTTTTTGTGTGTAATAACACAGTGTCACTGTCACTTTGTTTA